CCCTGACTTTAATCTCGGAATCCCGACTTTAAAGTCGGACCCCCGACTTTAATCTCGGAATCCCGACTTTAAAGTCGGACCCCCGACTTTAATCTCGGGATCCCGACTCTAAAGTCGGGGGTCCGACTTTATTCTTGGGATCCCGACAAACCGATTATTTTCTCGGAATTTTCGAATGAATGGAATGCCCTGTATTTAATTTCATCCTTGGATAGAGCTAAGAATGACGAATTCAATGATATATGATAGCATGGGTCTGAGAACACCCGTTTCGGACTTATCCATGAAGTCCTTCAATATAAGTAATCAAATTTCAAAACCCTCTAACCGCTGTGGAATAAGTGAAAATTGAAAAAAAATATTATAGAGTTATGAATAAGTATAGTGATTTAGGATTATTATTATTGGATCTTTCTTTTATTTTATTCCGACCAGGGAAGAGTCCCTCTTATCCTGATGTCTATTATGGAACAAAATAAAAACGGTATTGAAGTTTGATGCGAACAGCCTTTCTGCCCCAAATAAGTTTCAGAAATACATTCTGAGAATTGAAAGAGAGCGAACGGAATAAATGAATGTCAAAAACTTGAGAATAGTAAGTTTGGTCATAATGTCGATGTTTCTTTAGTTTATGGACAATCTCGGTCTTTTGAACTTTGATTGATCACCTGGGTCATAATCAACTGCATTTCGAAGAAGCAGATTCTCATGAACCTCAGCTTTTTCGAAAGTCTTGATGTTTCGTTCTCTAATGACTGACACGATTGAATGGACTTTCAGATCCCTGACGATCTGGTTATTCCGAACACACCAAAGAGATCCTGTCACCATTTTCGCGATTTCGTTTTTTAATGTTTGTAATCTGGTGATATGAGATTTAGCTGTGTGGCCCCAGACTACCGAGGCATACAGTATAGTGATTTAGGATCAGGATCAACATGTGAACCATGACAGATATTGACTGCGCAGTTAGTGCACCTTTCACGGTTAGGTAACAAATCTAGTGTCTTCGACTTCAATGTCGGTAACCCGAGAATCAAGTCGGGAGTGCGACTTCAAAGTCGAGATTCCGAGAGTAAAGTCGTGATCTGACTTCAATTTCGGGATCCCGACTTTAATCTTGGGATCCCGACTTTAATCTCAGGATCCCGACCTTAATCTCGGGATCCCGATTTCAATCTCAGGATCGCGACTTTACTCACGACTTTGAAGTCGGACCCCCGACTTTATACGCGGGATACCGACTGTTAAGTCGGGGGTCTCACCTGTACAGGTATAGTCTCTTTATACTTCGATTCCTACCTACATCTTCAAATATACGAAGTGGAGAAAACTTCAAATATAAAAGATGTAGGGTTCCATCTATACAATTATTTTGCACCCTTTGAACAAACAAATGCGAATCGTGAAATGAAAAAAGAGAGTATGATGGAACCTTCTTTACAGAACTTTTTTGGATGTACATCCGAACGTTACTTTTCATACGTACCTACCTATATATGTGTATATGCAATAATTTTACATCCATTGGATAATTATCACAAGATCAATCGAAAACCTCCTTTTTGGATGTACACTGAATGTCAAATAATGGATCACACCTGTACGATCATTATCATACGTACAGGGTGATTGTTTATATTTTACTCAATAGCTAAGAATTTCATTGTTGAATAGATACAAAAAAATTGAGAGAATCGGAGTTGTTTATAGTCATATAGATTTTTTTTAGGCATACTGTCTATATGACTTTGACATACAAAACATATATTTTCACAAATGGAATACCCTGAATTCCATCCCGTCTTTGGGTAGAGCTCAGAAACATGAGTTCAATGATATACGATACCATGGGTATGAGATCACCCGTTTCTGACTTTTTCCATAATCTCCTTGGATAAATAGCCAAATTTCAAAGCCTTGTGAACACGTTTAGAATCAAGTTTTCGATGCGCAGCTTCCATCATGAATTAACAAATTATATATTATGTTATATTGGAATTTTGTCAATATGTATAAGGACAATTTTAATTAACCAAAAGTGATGACGTATTTTGGAAACCGATCATATTCTCGGAATTTCCGAATGGAACGCCCTGTATTTAATTTCATCCTTAGATAGAGCTAAGAATGACGAATTCAATGATACATGATAGCATGGGTCTGAGAACACCCGTTTCGGACTAATTCATGAAGTCCTTCAATAAGTAATCAAATTTCAAAACCCTATAAAACCGCTGTGGAATAAGTAAAAATTGAAAAAAGAATATTAGGTATAGAGTTATGAATAAGTAGGTATAGTGATTTTGGATCAGAATCAACATGTGAACCATGACAGACATTGACTGCGCAGTTAGTGCACCTTTTACGGTTAGGTAACAAATCTAGTGTCTTCGACTTTAATGTCCGGCTGTATGTTTTTTGTTTTGTATGTCAAAGGCATATAGACATTATACCTAAAAAAGAAATTCTATATTACTATGAACAACTCCGATTCTCTCAATTTTTTTGTATCTATTCAACAATGAGATTCTTAGCTATTGAGTAAAATATAAACAATCACCCTGTACTTACGAAAATGATCGTACATTCAGTGTACATCGAAAAAGAGGTTTTCGATTGATCCTGAAATGATTATCCAATGGATGTAAAATTATTGTATGTACATATATACATTTAGTACGTACGTACGTACGTTTGAAAAATAAAGGTCGGATTTACATTCACATAAGTTCTGTAATAAAGGTTCCATCATTCTATCTTTTTTCATTTCGCGATTCGCATTTGTTTGTTCAAAGGGTGCGATAAGATTGTACAGATGAAACCCTACAACTTCCATATTTGAAGTTTCCTCCACTTCGTATAGTTGAATAAGATGTATATAGGTAGGGATCCAAATATAAAGAGACATCCTGTACAGGTGAGACCCCCGACTTTTTTTTTTTTTCTTCTTTTTTTTTATCGATTGGAGCAAGGGAATCCCTATAATGTTCAAAGAACATCGTGCGTTCCTAGGGAGGATAGGGACAGGAGGTAGGTATTGGAATTTTTTTTGAATTTTTGGAGATTATATGTTGTTGGGAATACTTCCACAGGCAATGAATTCCAGAGCCTAGCCGTTCTATGGATGAAGGAGTCTTGATAAAGTGCTGTTCGACATCTTTCGAGGTTGACAACGAAGGGATGTGCTGACTGGGCTTGTCTAGTTCGTCTGATTGGTATTGCTAGTGAAGGGATGATTGCAGAGATTTCCGAAAAACATTTCCCGTGGAAGTATCGATAGAAAAGTGAAAGGTCGCCGACCTTTCTACGGTATTCCAATGATGTCAAAGAGTGAGTGAGTGTGGCGTCACCCACCAGGCGAATGGCTCTTCTCTGGATAGAATCTAAGAGCATCAGCGTATGTTTTGGTGCTGAACCCCATATGTGGGAACAGTATTCTAGAACAGGCCGTATCTGCGCTTTGTAGATCATGAGAAGCTGTTGAGGTGTAAAGTAGCTTTTCGCACGGAACAAGAATCCGAGTTTTTGTGAAGCAGCTTTTGCGATGGATCTGACATGATTATCCCATGAAAGAGTGTTGCTGATGGAAATTCCTGAGCATAGATATGGTGGGCTTGGTGGGGATGGTGGAGCCAGACATTACAATATCGGGCATACTGAGTTCCGCCTTTCTAGAGAAAATGCAGGCTTGAGTTTTGGTGGCGTTGAATTCAACTAGGTTGTTCGTTCCCCAGGCTGTGATTTCAGCAAGATCTTCATTGACAGCATTGACCTGCCTGCGCCGTGAGTTCTTAGTTTCCTGGGAAGAAATGGGAATTCTGGAAGAGAACGCAGTATGGAGGGTACTATCATCTGCAAAGCTGTGGATGGGGCAAGTTGTTACTCCCAACAGATCATTGATATGAAGCAGGAATAATGTTGGTGCCAAAATTGATCCTTGTGGAACGCCGGAATTGATGCCAATGGTATCAGACGATACACCGTCTACCACCACGTGAAGCGATCTGCCTGAAAGAAAACTCGATAAGAGATGGCATAGCTGAGGTGGTAAGCCGTATGATGGTAGTTTGTGGAGGAGTCCTTCGTGCCAAACACGGTCGAATGCTTTCGATATGTCCAACGCGACAGCTAGAGATTCCCCGTGTTTTTCTATTGAAGATTGCCATAAATGGGTGACGTAGGCAAGTAGATCTCCGGTAGATCTTCGGTGGCGAAAGCCGTATTGTCTATCATTGATGATTCCTGAGCTCTCCAGATATTTGATAAGCTCAATATTGATGGCTTTCTCCATCACTTTGGAGATTACTGATAACAGGGCAATGGGCCTGTAGTTGTTGGGCAGGTTCTTGTTCCTTTTTTTGGGGATTGGTTGGACTCTAGCTGTCTTCCTGCATGATGGAAAAATACCCGACCTGTACGAGATGGTAAACAACTTGCAGAGAATCGGTGTTGATTCTGGTGCACATTTTTTGAGGATAATGGGTGGAATTCCATCAGGACCGTTAGCCTTATTCGTTTTGAGACCAAGCAAAATTCGTCTGATAGTGCGTTGACGGAAGACGATTTCGGGCATTCGACTCTCAACGGGTGGAATGTCTGGCGGCAGTTTTCCTTGGGAATCTAAGGTAGAGTTTGCTGCGAACATCTCTGCAAAAATATTCGCTTTCTCCTGCGATGTTGTTGCTAATGTGCCGTCGGATTTGGACAGTGGTGGAAATGAACTATTAGTGAAATTTCTTCCGACCGCTTTAGCAAGGGACCAAAACGAACGGGAGCCATTGGGGCAATCTATGAGTTTCGATCTTATCTTGGCATTGTATGTTTCTTTCGAAGCATCTATTGTTTGGCTGCAGTTATTTCTGGCATCAACGTATTCTTTAATGTTGGCATCCCGGGATTATAGTCGGGATCCCGAGATTATAGTCGGGATCCCGAGATTAAAGTCGGTGGTCCGACTTCAAAGTCGGGACCCCGAGAACAAAGTCGGACCCCCGACTTCAAAGTCGGACCCCCGACTTTAAAGTCGGGATCCCGAGATTAAAGTCGGGGGTCCGACTTTAAAGTCGGGATTAGAAAAAAAAAGTATGGGTGGCCCTTCAGCGCCTTCGTAGAAACCAGTTTCATTTTATATGATCTATTCCGGTGACGGTAGTAGGAACAGATTGATATATTTATATCTATAAAATGACAAATAAAATGGTATTTCAAGTGATACAGGTAGCAGAATTGAGCAAATAAAACTCATCTACCGTTACCGCTTTCCCTACCTCCTCTTAGATGGCCAGCTTCCTGATCAAATCGAACCCGGCGCCGGCCGGCCGACCAAAACCCACCGGACCCTCAAACACTGTCACCCCGTTTCCCCACCTCCTCTTACATGGCCAGCTTCCTGGTCCAGTCCGAGCCGGCGCCGGCCGACGCGCCGCCGGTCGGTCATGCGTAGTGCGAGTACGAGCCGAGAGGGGGCGCTCCCAGATGGGCGCCTGCGTGGTGGCCGATCGAATGCGTGGTGGCCGCGATGTTCGAGTACAGGTTGGCGCTCGGGTTGCTCCAGTACGATCCTGGCGACGGGAATATCGATGCTGAAACAAAAGGGGAGAGTTGAAAAATAAGGGATGGCGATATTGAACTGATTTTTCGGAATATCGAGATTTTCATCTGGATATTCGACTTTTTAGATCGATTTCATTCATAACAATTCTCTATAGGATATAGGATTGTATATACTATAGTAATTCGAACTGTAAACTGTATTTGATCAATTTCCATTCTATCTACTGAAAAATCAGCCGATTCTATAGATAATCAATCTTTGGTAGAAGTCCATATTTGTGGAGCGAAATATTTCAAAGGAAGGAAGCAATGCTCGAAGTCATCTCGACAAATTTTAGTGATGTTGTTACATAATCGTAAGGGCATTTTTCGGTCTTATAAAAGACCATCTTCAGCCTAATTGAAAGTTTTGGAATTGAAAAAATTGTTATTGCTACTGTTTCTTGAATTGTTGTCGATGCCCATAGTCAAGAATTCAAATTCTTGATGAAAAAAACGGGTTCTCAATAAATGAAGGGTCCCGTGGAATATGAAGGGTATTGCCAAAAGGTTTGTTTTGACAACACCATAAATTAACGGTTTTTTTCATTGACAATTTGAATTTTTGACTATGGGCATCGACAACAATTCGAGAAACAGTAGCATCAAAAAGTTTTTCGACTCAGAACTTTCAATTAGGCTGAAGATGGTCTTTCATAAGACCTAAACATGACCCTTACGATTATGTAACAACATGATTAAAATTTGTGGAGATGACTTCGAGCATTCCTTCCCTCCTTTGAAATATTTCACCCCACTTTGAGCAATATGGACTTCTACGAAAGATTAATCCTCTATAGAATTGACTGATTAATCAGAAGATAGAATGGAAATTGATTAAATACAGCACATTTATTTTTTGTTTCATGTTCGTTCAGTTCATAATTTTTTATTGATGATTTTGACTACAATAGTTCAAAGTACTTAAAGACAAGTGAGGTCCACTTTCGATAAGGCTCAACTTCAAAATGTTTACTCTGCTGTTGTATATTCCCATATTTCTCATAATATTGCCATTTGGGGATGTTCGGGATGGAAAAGGGTCGGCTAATATATGGAATAGACTACAGAAAATCTTGTAGGCAACACTTTATTGCGAATAAAATCTGGTGTGTACCTTGCATTTATATTTACAAATGTATTTTATTATTCAGGTAACAAATGCAGAATTATGATCGAAACTGTGACTTTCATACCTATCCTACCAGGCACGGTGAATTAATAAGACTTCAGAAATATTCAACTCGTCTGTATGAAAATTGTCCATCTTATAAGGGAGCAAAATTCTATAATCATCTGACGAAATAAAAAATGTACACCGAAGAGAAAATCATTTCGAAATTAAACTCAAAGAATTTCTGATTAACGGTTGTTTTTATAGTATCGACGAATATTTCAATCGATGAAATGCATTTCATATATCTTCATATACTTCGTGGTACTAGGGAAGGTTACAGACTGAATATTCTGTGTACTATGTGGTTCTGTTATATTTTCATGTATCTGTATAAAAATTGTGTAAGAATTTCTTGTTGTCTGACGTATCCTATGTCATTTTTTATGATCGTGAAGGATTGAATAAATTTCATTATTTATTATTATTATTATAAAGTGCTTTCAACTGACTCACTGAATTAACTGATAGTCCACCATCCTTACCAATCTTGCTATTACCAATTTAAAGAAGATCGAAGATCGATTTTTTGCCTCTCGATTTTTACATGGATCGATTTTCACTCTTCAGATCCAGAACGATTCATGAATCAATATTTTTTTCAGAGATTGCCATCTCTAGTGAGAAAGTGATGGTTTTCGGAAATGTCACCTTACGCACGTGTTAAGTGCACTATTTTTACTACTAGCATGTGGAGAAACCCAAACAATGAAGAAACATTTAATTCATTATTATTTTATATTCAAATGTCAGTATACTCAAAAACCACTGAAATGAGTGGACATTTTCGCAAGCTAGTAGTAAAACAAAATTTCGTCTCGAATAATGAGATCGGTTGCTTGAAAAACGGTAAATTTACGGACCAATATATCAGCGATGTCAATTTGAGTGACAAAAAACACTCAGAAATTCTGGACTCACAATAATTGACATCAATATTGTTGATAACCGGAAAACCGATCTCCAAGGAACGGTTCCTCTGGTGAAATAATCAGACCACATCTTTCAGGAACCGTGTCCCGTATGTCACGGTTAGTTGACCGCTCGGTTTTTTCAGAGATTACGGACCGGTGAACCGTATCTTTCTTTGGTGATGTTTGGTAGGCTTACGGACCATATCCCAAATTTACAACAAGGAAAAAGTCAAATACTCAAAGTGGATGCAGTTCAAATTTCAACTTATCACAAACTGTTTGAATCACACACCATCGTTTAATTCCTTCAATGTCGGTACTTATATTTCGTTCCCTTTACTTGAAGGAATTTCAAAATCAAAGTCTGCTTATTTAACGCATTGCGAATACTACTACGAAAAATATTTTTCCTGTACTATATAATATATTGTACCTGTATCTTTTTCTACAACTATAAAGAGTATGCCCGAATTTAGGTGCGATAATATTCAGGGAATGATTGTTTGTCATATTTTATGGAAAAAAGTTCATATAAACATTTCGTTCAATAATAGCGATGAATGCACTGATGATTTGGATTGCACGAATCTTATACAGGGTGTATCTAAAAATTCAAGGGGTGATTCCTTGTCACATTCTAGCAAATGAAGTTCACATAAATATATGTCCTAACTTGCTCCGTTTTTGAGATACAGGATGTTGAAGTTGGAAGTATTGATTGTTTTCATTTTCAATTCCCTTGTATGAGCTTTCATGGTGCAAAAATTCAGTATGGATGGAGACTGAGAAAGCCCCAAAATTTCAGAATGATTCTAAATAGGGTTATTGAGTAATCTCAATGGAAGTCTTGAAAACACCTACATTAAAATTTGGAGTCGAATCGAATTTTTCTTGTTTCCTCAAAAACTAAGCTAGATAGAAAAATCATACAGAGGATTAAAAGGTTGTTGAATCAGTAGTTCAATCTAATGAAAATATGAAACAGACATTCACCATGTATATCGATGAATTTACCCACTGCGACGCCACTGGAAATATTATTCCGAATCTAATTGCATTAGAAGAAGCTCCATATTACTATTAACAAAACCACAATGTTTTATCGATATTGATGAAAAGACAATTGAGGAATGAATAGAAAAAAGATTTTCCATGGAAATATTAATACCCTGTATCATGAAAACGAATCAATTTAGGACACATGTATTCATGTTTATATAAACTTTATTTCGTAAAGTATCAGAAGGAATCACCCCTCGAATTTTTCCTGTGTTATTTAGATACACCCTGTGTATGTATATCGACACCAAGAAAGCATGCTGATGCCAATATCTTTCACCTCCCACAAAAGCTATTTTTTCCGCGATTCCTCGTAGGGGTAAACAGAGAGCTTTCTTTCCTTTAATGAGGGAGCAAACGCCTACTTTCGATGAAATCAAATTTCTCACTGAAACAGACCCCTTTTAGATTCAGAAGGAAAGTGATTGTGACAGGTATTGTTTGCCGAATAGTTACATTTAGGGCATGTGAATGTCAACATTATTCTGCAATCGTACGTCTTCGCTAGTCTCCGCAGGAATTCGCGAAAATCACGAACCAATAGATGGCTCTATTAAACGTCAAATCAACGTCAAATTTCAAACTGAGTATGAACAACAAAAACATTGCCGTATGCACTCATTGCAAATTGATTATTTCGAAATCATTTTGCAAAATAGTGAATAATAAGTTGACTTCGTGAAATACGTAGGTACAAGGTTTCCAGTATGGAGAAAATTACTTTTTGTGCAGAGAAATTGCCATTTCGATGAGGACAATGGTGGTATTCATCATTGATATCACACTACAATTCCACAGTTTTCAAACATATGGAATGGTCTGAATGGTCCACTCAACACTTGCATGGACTGGAATGGAACCATATAAGCAATCAGATTAGAGATCAGATTACAACAATATGGTATAGGTATGAAGAAATAATTGAAGAAATATCACTGCTTTTTATGAAGGGGTTGGAAAAGAAGATATGGTTGGCGAGGCTGCTCAGAATCATCATTTACATAAACGAGAGTCTCCAGCAATTGAGAACTTATTTTCAATATCGAATCATTGCAACCAACATTTATACAATGATTCTTGTACAGGGTGATTCACCATAAATGTCCCCCCTCTAGCTCAGTTATTTCTGAACCGATTTCAAAATTTGAAATATAATCTTGAATGATTTTCGATAAAGTTTTTTTCCGCTAGATCAGAAAATACAGGGTGCTCGGAACAAACGATCTACAGGGTACTATTTGATTTTTTTTAATAAAACACCCTATTCTTCATTGTATTTTTAGATTCTCCCTGAAGAGCTGATTTGATCAATGTATTACACTTCAAAAATAAGTGAGCTAGAGGGGGGGACATTTATGGTGAATCACCCTGTATATTATATTATTATAAGGTAGGTACTGGTTTCTTCATTGTAAACAATAAAAGTTCATGCAATAATTCGAGTTTTTTCATCAGGAAAAAATGAGGTTCTGGAATATGCACGTCAACAAATTAATTATTTTCAAATAAAACACATAATTATGAAACTCAAAACAATGGTCGCCATATTTGTTGTCATTGTTGTTCATACTCGCAAGACTTGCAAAGTTAGCCACCAGAGGCCGCACACTTCGTGATTTTCGCGAATAACTGCACAGAATTGAGACTGAAATGCAATATGCGCCCAATGTATGGTGAGTGTCGCTCTCCGAGACTGCGATGTTGTCAAATAACATCCTTTCATATGTAACGCGTGGAATTCCATATTGACACTCTATCCGAAATTCATATTGCCAACTGATTCTAGAAACAACTCCAATTCCCCTAAACAAATATTCGAAAAAATCACAAATCGCAAGTGGGC